ACATCATTGTTATACTATATATTATGCATTATATACGCGAACACACCCGTTTAATATTGTCTAAATATATATTATATTATGTAGCTCGGCCAGTCGTTTTTTGTACAACTCACGCGTTTTGTGTACATAAAACAATCCGAATATAATGACGATAATATTATTATTATTATTATTATTATTATTTTTCTTTTTTGCAATAACTTGAAGGCTACAATGTCCGGTTTACTGCTGCGCGATGGGTAGGAGATTTCACGATTTTTTTTCAATGTTGAATTACGTACCTACTTACCTACCTATATAATATTATAATATTATAGTAGAACTATATAGGTACCATGATAATAAATTAGGTTTTGAAATCACTCAAGGGACTTATTGTGATGACGACGCTCGCGGATTTCATGTTTATATTATTATATATAATAAAGTATAACAAAGCAATACTAATAGTAATATTATAACAATAATAATATTTATTACGAGTCGACGAGATTACTTGGGTAGGTATACTAAAATTAAGTACCTATAGGTATGCGTGGGCCGGTCAGACATCCAGGACGTTAGTGCACGATAAGTACCATACTTATAATATCCTTATTTTTTTTCGTCGACGACCTATAATTGATGTACATAACAGATAAAACTCATTGTTTATAATATTATATCGTCTACATTACCAAGGGAAGAGTGCAGGTCGAAAATATACGCTCACATCTGTATATATAATAATATGCGATATACATAATACATTGAACTATTAAAGTGGCGTGAGTGCGTAACTATATAATATTATATTAGGTATATCTCCTCAATACCTGTTATTATGTGCATTGTATATAGGTATAATGATTTATCCGATTTTAAAAGTAAAATATCCGTAACAGTCACGGAAGTGTTTCGATATAATACCTAATGTTCTTCTTCGCTGAAGATTTGCCACTATAATAAATATTTATTATTATGTATATATACCTACCTATGAACCGGAATTGAATAAGGACGAGGATTAACGAAATCGGTCCGACTGCATTACCGAAAAACATTCTGTAAAATCTCGTCTGGACGTTTTTAGTTTAGTTGATTGCATTTCGATGCAAATATCGAGTTGCACGATTAGTGTAGTAAGTACTTGTATACAAGTTAATCCTATAAAAAAAAAGTATAGGTTAGGTTATAGTATAACTGTATAAATGTAAATGCAGGCATGCAGCCATGCAAGTATGCCCGGTCGAATGTTACAGACTGCAGGACCAACATATAGGTACCTACACAGTATACTGCATACACCATCATTATTATTATACTTTTGCACTGTTTTTAAAGTACCCTTCAAAATTCTTTTTTCTTATGATGTTGTACGTCGATGTTTTTTAAAGACATTGACGAATTTTGCGCAACTCTGCCGACTAATAATAAGCGTAGACTTCGGGAAGATTTTTTTTTTAATAAAGACGCATAGGTCATGTACACTGGCATCATACGCTGCATATTGCATCATGAAAACTTTATATTTTTTCTCAACAAAGAAACGTGAGCACGGTAGTGGTATTTTTATTTTTATTATTTTGATTCATTAGCCCGACGATTGAATAATGAACCACCGCAATATATAATAGACAGAGAATGATGCACGTTTTAAAATTATTTCACTAATTGTATAGTTACCCATACAGCCATAAATATGTCATCATTATTCAAAAATTGGTTGTGAAATTGTATAATTTGTGTAGTATTATGTATGGACGATTTTAATAAGGTCGATTAGTCAAAAGAATAATATTATAATTATACTAACTCGTCGACCACCAAGTTGTAGACAAAACACAACAATATATATTATAATATAACCATGGTAAATAGTGTTAATTATATGTTTTGTAGACGTATATTATTGTCAGGAACATTATTATTTAATATTTTTTAATTACGATATTGTAAAGTTCTATAGAACGCTGGACAGTAAATCTCACTTTTAAAATGCATTTTATTAAATATATTTATTTATATTTCATTTTGAAATCAATCTCAAATATCAAATTAACTTATTGTGTAACGTCGTGCTAGTAGGTGCAAGGTACCTAGCCTACCTACTTCAATACTTAATTTGTCTACAATATATGTTCTTTTAATATTAACTCTACTATAATAAATAAAATAATTTTCTAATTTATAAATATTAATCTAATACATAAAAATCTCGTATCAAGATGTGTACGAACTCCTCTGTAACGGCTCAACCGATTTTAAGAAATATTTTATATTTGGTAGGTATGAGAATGAATAGGTCTTAAATTATTTTTCACCTTCCTACCACCGCCCGAGGAGGTGCTCAAACGGGGATTTTGAGATTTAAGGTGGACATTTTTGTTTATAAATGATTGCCTTTGGTTATTTAGGCAGATCGGGTTATTCGGTTATCACTTATCAGATCCATATATTATTAAGGTCAGGTACAAGCTGCTTGCATCAAATCGAATTTTCGAAAATTGCCTATACCAAGGTGGATGATTTGGACTTTGTCCACTATCTGAAGTAGTGGGATTTCCTACCAGAGTGGCTGTGTTGCACTTACTGCACAGAGTTACACCCAAAAGGAATTGAACATTTTTTACGGGCAACGAAGTGCACGGAATCAGCTAGTATATATATATATATATGTATGTATATTATATTTAAAATTACTTCAACTTCTATATAATTTTGAATATTCCGTGTCGTTATTATAATGTAGCGTAAACATTCATCATATACATCGTCGTATATCTAAGAGCCATAAGAAAAAAAAATCAATAAGGTGTAATCAAATCTCATCACACTTCCTCTAATAAACAAACGTTTTTCGTTTTTGCTAGAATTATATTTACCATTACATAAAAGTAATCCGTGATAATGATTTATACATATTATTTTATCAGCATAACTTAATATAATATGTTAACACATCATATAATAAGATTATATTAATACAACAGTTCACTTCCTTCGTGCTTAAATTTAGTTATGTTACAATATATTGATTTAAAGCCTTTAGGCTAAAGCTTATTTCCTATCATTTTTTTATAGCATTTGGTGAATGGTGTTTTTATTTATAAAAACTTATTTTATATTATATTATATTTTTTTAAATGATAATACGCGGATAGGTACCTATATTATAATAGTGTTTTTTACGCATTCGTCGATTCTCTTTATGGGAAGTAATAAAAGGGTCAGGTTAAAACTCTGTGACGCAACAATTCGTCTATAGTTTTTAACAAAATCCAGACAATTTTTTATTTTAGTTATGCAACTCTAAAATCTCGACAAATACAAGTATAAAACTACCCTTGTTTTTTTTCTAGATATTCACTCACCCCTTACCTCTTATAAAAGATTAACACTAGCCGTCATTGCTCGGAAATCAATCCAAATATGTTTTTCACCTATGATGAGTATATTATAGGCACGCAATAATAAATGTGAAAGTGGTTGCAAATAGTAATAAAATACTTAACTTTCCAGTTTTGGATTCTTATATAGTTGTGGATTATCATCATTTATTTTATTCGTTTTTGTAAATTCTTGTTCAACCGATGATAATAATACCCATTGATTAACGTTTAATTTAATTTTAATTTTAGTTTTTAATTTTAATTTCAATTAATAATATAAGTTAATTCATGACAGAACAGTAGAACACACATTTACATTACCTGTACATAAAATAATATTATATGATGTATAAAAGTCCCTGCACTATTACAACAAACCATAATTCAGTACCCAATACTTATCGTATTTTTTACGGAGATCAACATCGGTAATCGGTATGGAAGGTGAATAAATATAAAACACTGTACATACATTATAGTGTATGTGTATTCTCATATACCTATCTGTATAATATTATATAGTTGTTATTATAGAAAATAGTTGGTCTAGCTAGTATAAAATAGGTAGTCATTCCGTGTTTAATCATGCATGTCTCGTATACGTGTGTACTGTGTATATTGTTTATCGTTTTTCGTTGTAGGTATCTAGATATACATTATTATTATTATTTATTATGTTATTTCGGTGCCAGATTATATATACTTACTTTAGAGTGTAGCCGTGTACATGAGGGCACTAGAGTACGTACGTATATAGATAGACACGTAGTAGGTACCTATGTAATAGTGTATGTTATAATATCTAAATGGATAACCATTACCTAGCCACCTAGGTCATACATTAATTATCGACACTTAAAAATATACAAACAATGAAACATTAATAAATAATACAGTTTGAATCACGTTCGATCTCACAACGAACATAAAACAGTATAATTTTATAGATAATAAAATATACCATTCATAATAAATATAATAATGGGACCGTATATATTAATAATAATATGATTCTTCAATTCTTGCCTTACTATAATAGGTGACGAATATTTTATAGTTATACCTGCGTATTACGTAAAACCAATATTGATTTATAAACATTAAGTTCATTTCACATTTTTAGTGGCACGCCATTGTAGCTAGGGGACGACTTAATAAATCAGCTTCTATTTATTGTATTTTTCAGAACTTTCTACGTAGAGTAATTTTTTTCTAATCTAAAATTATTAATATTTTTTTTTATCTAATATCGACATTTATAACGATTTAATCATTTGAGTGTTGTAAAAATATCAATATATATATTATATATATTATTTAATATTTATAAATTATTAATTGAAATTGAAATTGAAAATGTTAATAATATATATTATACATACCTAAACCATAACTACAGCTCACCCAAAATGTGTATGTGTATTCATTATAATATTATATTCGCGTACCTCGGCGGCTCAGCACCTGTGTTCAATATTAAAAATGCAATTAAAATATAACAAAAATTACTTTTGTCCGATGCACGCAGCATGATATTATCGTGTATACCTATACTATATTATGTCGTAACAATGGTCAATGATTATACCAATTTAATATAATATGTATTGTCATTTTACAGGTCAAGCGATGGGCCTCGATGGGGCCAAGGCGTTAATGGTTTTTATTCTTTACGCGTTGAGGCTTCAACAGAAGGCTCAAGCGGACATCAAAGTGGGTAACGCCATCAACGTGTTCAATCGTTATGGATACTTTAGCATAAGTATGAGAGTGGTCCCCAGAAATGACACCGATCATTCGTGGATATTCAGAGAACCCACGGTCGACGTGTTTACGAATCTGCCGGAAAAGCAAAGGTAAATATTAAATATACATGTGGAATAATTAACATAATTTTTACGCATAATATATTATGTTATATTTGTATATGGTGAATATGTTATATTAAAAAGCATTTTGTATCCAAAACCTAAAAGAAAAAAATGTATGTTTACGTTAATATTAGCCTCAAAAGAAGCATCGGAGGTGGTGGAGGTCAAGTCTTCCAAGGGGATTTCCACATGGAATTCTGTGATAACGTAAAACAATTAATGCAAGCCTACTTTAGAGATTTTTCCGTGGAGAGACTGGACAAGCCGTGGCAGGCGTTTACGGGCAGCTGGTCGAAATTTACGTTGGCCAGAAATTTAGGTTTGTTGGGTAACATACACAATATTATTGTACATATGACATATTACTGAGTTGATAACACGAAAACGTTAATTAGATACAAGGTACCCGTCACCTATATATGGTGAATAATATGGTATAATGCCTAAACATACTTTTTTACTCGTGCATATAGTTAATAAGTGCCACAAAAAATTAATTGATCTGGTTTATTTCGAAACAATGCGCTACCTACAACAGTATCGTGTATTATTATTTACCTACTAACCATCGATGTGTATAATATTTCAATGCAGGTTTAGACGTGTCTTATGTAACCGGCGATCATTGTTATGTTCTCGTCAGGGTGGCTAGGCATAGGGAGACTGCCGATTTGGAAATGGATATGGAGAGCACCGACCTTCACGAGCCAGTGGCCAAACAGGTGGCCTCTGTTAATGTCGGCGATAGTTTGTCGGTCATTGAATTCGTCCGGAGTTTTGGATCTCATTACGTGACGTCATATGTCACAGGCAATTCTCTCTATCAGGCAAGTGTCCATTGTTTTACTGCAGTTAATCCATTGGCAATTAAAGCATAAACACAACAGCTGTATAAACTATATAGGTAGCTGCTATAATATAGTTTATTACGATATAATGACGCGCGATAGCACGACACAGCATTCGTCGCAAAACTATTGCTCAAGAAAGCTTATTATTAAATCAGCACAAAATATACCAATTACCTACCGCCTACCAGATGTATTAACTTTTGCTGAACTTTGAACTCTGGAACTCTGGAGCGATATTGCATGTTATTTAATCAAATTATAATATAATGTCCCAATATAATGTACGTCGAAAATTAAACACACTTCAATCGTTATTGTGCTAAAAAGTTTGCAAACGACTGTTCTATTATCTTTTTAAGTCATAACTTTCTTTTAAGTGTTTCTAATTATTCTAGACAAAACGCATCAGCATAATAATATGTTTAATATGATTTACACAAACGTTTTTAAAAATAAAATATCAATATTTTACCTTCTCTACCTAGAAATATATGATAAATAATATGAAATATTCTAATTTTTAATCATTTAAGACACCATAAGTTTTTCATCGAGTGTTTTATGAAAATTATATTATTGCAATATACTAAAAAACAACCATAAAAACATTTGATTGTAAGCTTAATTGATTTTATTAGAATAGAGTTTATTATAAAGTACGAAATATTAAAAACAAATTTAAATACTATTAGGTACTATTTCATATTATCTATCAAGGGTATATTTAAAGGGGAGGGGGCACAACGTCCCTGTCAGTGCTTTCTTGCCATCATTTGTCGATGTGATACATTTTATGATAATTATTAATAATCATTAAAATGTATTATATATTTGACATTTGTATTTAATTAGGTATGTGAACAAATTGTACTGCAATTATTATGCATGCATCTAACACTATATTTATATTATGGAGATATTTATTATTATGTAGGCAGTTTAATTTGTATGTGCTCCTCACTCCAATATTATATTTTTCTAAATAATCAACTACTATCTACCTGTATATGTTACTTATATATTTAATTTGTATTAACTTTTTAGGTGTATGTATATGCCCCAAACGCTTACAAAGTAATTAAAGAACGCTTAAAAACAAAAGGCGTGTCGCAGATCTCTAATCAAGAGTTGATCGGATACTTCTCACCGTGGTACGCAGAACATGTGGGTAAAATACAATCAGCTAGTGGCAATGCAACTGTTGAAAATTGGGCACACCAAAGACTAAGAGTGAAATTTTTTGTCTTTGGGTTCGCTTCCTTACTGAAATTGCATGGAGACACGAAATTGTTAAGTGAATTGAATGGAATGTTAGGCAACGAAGCATTACTCAAGCTTGAATTAAAAACCTTGGCGCCGGCGTTTAAGGACGTTCAAAAACGAGCTTGGTTCCATGAAGTAATGGATAATAATTTAAAACTATGGGAAGTTAATATGTAATAAAAATAATATTCCTATAAAACCCAATACTAAAGTGTATTTATTATAGTAATTTTACTAATTTGTTTTAAGGTAAGTACCTCCACCTTTCGCTCAAATGCCAAATACTAAATGTACCTAAAATCATTACCTATATAATATACCATTTTAGTATGTTTTCTTGTTGAGCAACAAGTATTGTATTATAAATAATTATTGATCGCATATGTTTTTAATAAAGTCTTTATTTATGTAAATTACAAACAAAAATTATTGTCATTCGTTTTTTATTGAGTTACAAACATAAAATTATTGTCATATTTTGTATTTTATTGTCATACAGTATCCTTAATAATACGTGGTAATTAATATTAAAACCTAAGACTAGATACGACTAGAAATAATTATAAAATAGGTAGTTAAAAAAAAAAAAAAAAAACATTTCATTTACCTAGTAAAAAAAAAATATTGTATAATTGTTTAAAATAACTAATGCAAAGTACACGGAAAGCTGTCCCTTAATTACTCTCATTGATTTTCCATTACATAAGTAACTATTGAATAACAATTAACAAAATTGTATTTTAAGATTATCAGTATAAATCTTCTATATATTTTAATGCTTGAATTGGGGAAAATATAGTTACAATATTTGAATGTTTAAATTTGTGTTTCTAATTATTTAATGACTTTTGATTTAGACGATTTAAGTAAGTGAATTTCTTTTAAAGAGAAGAGGTTCTTACTTCTCCTGCCAATTCAAGCATGAGAGTTGTAGTGGCAGCGTGAAATTTTTTTTTTATGAAGCGACTATTTAAAATAAGTACCCAGCCACCAATTGTTTCTGTATTAATGTGAATGGCCAAACCCAATTCATAAAAGTTACATACACTATTTGTAAATTATAAATGAGTCCAACATTAAACTATACTCATCACCACTTTTACATGAAGTAAAAGTTTCATAAAATAGCTATTCATGCCGCCACTGCATGATTATAGGAATGTCCATTGTGTACTAACTAATCATAAAATATGTTTGTTATACAATATTCAAATAATTAATTTGTGTACCGAGAATACTTAAGCACATCAACATACTTTTTAATAAATAATAATAATAATAGTTAATACATCATTTGTTTATACAATTATTAATAGGTAATAAATTAATTGATCATTTTTTGTACCTTATAAGGATATATGTCAAAAAATAGATCCAAGTAATCCACTGTAATGTATGTATTTAACTATTACAATAATACTGTAGATAAATATTTGTAATACAATTATTTTACCAGGTATACAAGGCCATTACTGGGTTAAATTTTAAGGGGGAGTGTTACATTTTTAAAGACCCAAAGTTCAAAAGAACTTTGAACTTAGGAACTAAAGAACAAGGGGAAATCCCCTTCAAGAGTAACAGAGAAAGAAAACATTTTATGAGACATTTAAACTCTTAAAATTCCCAATGTATTGCCTTACAGGTAAGTAAAAAATAAATTTATATTTTGAACAGTAAATAATAATAATTATAAATTAAAATACATAGGTAATTGTAACATGAAAGGAAATGAGAAAAAAATATATGGGTATCTGGTATTATAATTAGTATACCTAAATGAAATATGTATATTTTATAATGATAAAAATAATTCATTCTTATGAATTACCTATACATTTTTAAGTAGGTATAGATAAAATAAAATTATATGTATTATATTATATATTTGAAGTTATTTTGTAACTTGCTTAATGTGGTACCTACTACCTACAAATAGTTGTAATAATCTAAAAATTATTTCAGCATACAACCTAATCAAAATATTTTAATATAAATTCACATAACACTTTAGAACACAAACTAACTCAATGACTCATACTCGGCAGAACTAAATCTAACTACAAGACTAGTAATAAGACTTTGTTGGTTATCTCAAAATAATATAAGTTGCATACTAACCTTCTGAATTGTACATAGGAAACATACGGGAACATATTATTAATTAAGTATGTACCAATTTTTTAAAGATGAAAATCATTACAATGAAAAAAAATACCACACAATAAAGTATATATTATATTTTAGAAATTATTGTACCGATATACTTAAAAATATATATAGGATAGTTTATTATTAGGGCACGGATTTCAATGTATTTGCATTTTATCTCTGAAATATTCTACACGGTACTTTCTAATATACAAATGTGTTTCAAGTACACATTATGCTAATTCATTTTGAGTCATTTTTTTAATTTTTAAATGTTTTTGAAGTTCAAGGTCATTATTTATTTTTTTAGGTAAATTTTAACATATTTCTAGTAATATTACAAGAAAAATTAAATTATAATATTTAAATACTTTTTTTTTTTTTTCGTTTGAACCGACAGCAGAGGAGGATCTGTGTGAACACTATTAATCCTAAATATTTAAATACTTAAATACACATGATGTACTTAAACAACATTAGGTAATCTGGTGTTTAAATAATACGTTTCACAAATTAGTCTTAATGCCACACATACCAATTAGCCGATAACCAATTATACAGATAGACAAATTATCTATATGTTTACTTAGCCTACTTTAACATTGTTTTGGAAGTGCTCATTTTTTGAGAATTAGGTCATTAATGCATTTTTGATATTTTTTAGGGCATATAAATGAGAGCCTTACTTATTATTTTAAACTTAAATAAATACTATTTTGAAGAAACTTTTCCTACTCTATTATACAAGTAAAATTAGGGTAATTTAGATAATAATCTATATTACATTTCTACGTAATGAAATATCTGAAATTGGACTAGGTACCTAACAGTTACAGGTCCTAAATATTTTATTATTTTATCTGGTTTATGCAATTCACTGATAATAATATATATAAAACCAATAATCATCATGAAAACATTAAAAAATTAATATTGATAAAATATTATGAATTACTAGTTTAAATATTATTTACTTGAATTCAAAGTAGGTATGGGGATTTTTAGTTTTAAAACTACCTAAATTTAATTAAGATGCACACAATTGTGGTACAACCTCCCTCCACAAATAAATTAAAAAAAAAAAATGTTAAAGTAATTTATACCATAACTATACTCCTTTTCAAAAGAGTACATACCGCTTTCGAGCATGTCGAATGATTCGATTGGTGAGTCGAGAACCACGTGAACACGCTAACAATGGGAAATTGGGGAGGGGGAGGGAACGCGCCGCCGGACATAAATTGGTCTCCGAAGGTGTGTTCTCTTTTGAAACAGAGTATACAAAAATCAATTAAATAAAAATATTACTCAAATTTAGATTTTTTTTACACATTTTAAGTTCCTTGGTAATAATTTTTATTTAAGAGTAGATGGTTTATTTCAAGCAAAATTATTTATTTTATTGACTGTCATTATCTGATGCAGACTTACTATGTTCCCTTTGGCACTCTAGTTCCTTCATTTTTAATTTTATTTCAGTAACATTAGCATGTACATGGTTCTCCAACTTTTTCGATTCATCTTCCGATACCTTTTTATGAGCTCGAGCGAAATGTTTTTGGAGTAAAAAGTTTCTTGTAAATGCTGCTTGGCATGAATTACATTTAAAAGGTCTTTCTCCTTTAAATAAACAAATCATAATACATTTAAATACTTTCAATGACAATATAATTCTTCAAAACAGTTATTTTTATTAAACTAATTTATAAAAATAACATTTGAAACAAATAACTATATGTAAGAAGCATAAAATGAATACCTGTGTGAATGAGTAAATGCCTTTTAAGATCAGTTGTCCACCCAAATTTTTTACTACACAAACTACATTCAAAAGTCTTGTCTTTTTCTTTATTTTTTTTAGTTACTTTTTTTAATGGTTTAACTGGATTATCATTATTTTCTTCATATGTGGCCAGACAATATTTCCAAGGATTAAGAGTTTCGCCCACTGTCAAATTTAATGGTTTAGAAGATCCATAATTGCTAGTTTCTACAGGTTTTTTTTGAGAAGTTGAACTATTTTCATTATTATCGCCATCAACTAATTTTTCTTCACCAACGTGACTAAAAAAATGTACTAATAATGATGTAGCAGAATAAAAACATTTGTGGCAATCTGGACATTTTTGAGAATAATCTGAAAATAAATTTAATTAATATTTAATAGAAAGTAAGTATTCATTTTTTAAGTACAGTGGAACCTCGATAACTCAATTTTTCAATAACTCGAAGGAATGTCTTGGTCTCTGAGCCTATGTACAAACAATTTTTTCTATAACATAACTTTTGATCTCTATTTTTTTTGGTCTGACCCAATTTGAGTTATTAAGACTCCACTGTACTTCAAAATTAAAATGTATTATTAGTAAAAGTGAACTTTGTATAATACGTTCAGATATAAATGGAAACAGGTTTGTCGAAACTAAATTTTAAATATGATAAGTAGGTATTTCAGACGTCTTCAGTACCTGTGTGGCCGTATGTAAACATCAAAAGTCTAATTAATTTATAAGTGTAGAAATTTAGCAAAAAATACTTCAATAGTTGTTAGGGTAATTTAACACTGGTTGCAAGTTATAATCACATTTCATCATCATTAATCAAATAAAAATTATGAGATCTACAATCTCAAATGAAAATCATACTCGATTAACAGCTTCTATATTGTTATGTTGATCATAAATAATATTGATAAATGTTTGTGTCTCATTTACAACTGTTCTTATATTTTGTTTGAAACTACACGGTACTATTAGGGGAATTCAAACATTTTATTAAACAACCCAAGGTATGTAACACATAAAATTGTATATCAAAGAAGAAAATCTATCTTTATATACTTTTCAATAAATACCAACAACTAAAATGTATGATAGCTAAAATGAATAGGTGCAACAATTAATTGTAATAAATTCATAGCTAGGGGACTAAGCCCATGAAGATTTTACACATTTCTAAAACTTTTTTTGGTGGTTTTCTAATATAAGAGTCTGGTATGGACCGGAACTCCAGCGCCCCTAAATCTTAAA